GAGAGAGAGAGAGAGAGAGAGAGAGAGAGAGAGAGACAGAGAGAGAGAGAGACAGAGAGAGAGAGAGACAGAGAGGGGGGAACAAATGGGGTTCTTTTGGGGTGGGGTGGGGTGGTAAGGGAGGTGATTCTTAAACAAAATGAACAAAATGTATCCAGCAACAAAAATGACATTTATTTTGCTTCTTCTGTGTTATTCCGTTACACTTTTCTAAACAAAGACTCACATGCATTCTCGTATATTCATTTAATAATCCTATCATGTACTCTCTGACATCATTCTCTATTGTACACGATACTGTTTTGCATAGGCTTGAATGAATCTAAGATGATCTGCTCTTATTTCTACTGGTAATGGTATATTTACTTATAGTGCACGCCTTTGATAGAATCAGAAAGCAAAATGCTCTCTTGTTACGAACTGAAATTGTTGGAAAAGCTACTTTTCAGGTTACGTTAGGCCTATTTGTGAGACGGCAAGGTGAAACCAGGCGCTTGTCAAAATACAGAAATCGGAGAAACAGGCATTTTTCCGAGAGTATCGAAATGTTTTTCGTATTTTTATTTTTGGACTCAACCTATTTTATGTCAATATAAAATCACGTTTCAATGTGAATTTTACTGAAAAACATTGATAAAATATGTCATTTTTCTGTTTTCAAGGACTCTTTAGCAATTGAAATTACCAAACTTTGGCTGCCATTTTCTCGCTAATTTCACCACTGAACCAGGCGACCTCACTTCCTTTAATTGCAAATATCTTGAGTTCTATTCAAGATAAATGGATATTTATTTCTTTGAAAGCAAGGCAAATGAATTGAATCAGATTTTAGATGATACCAGTAACTCCACATGCACAAAAATTGACAAGCGCCTGATTGTGACATATTTACTTCTGACAGAATAAGGGAGATTTATTAAAGCTAACACGGGTTGTTTATTTCATTATACATGATAAGGTAGACCAAAAAAACAAAAAACAAAAAAACAACCCCCCCCCCAGGTTTTCCTTTTTTTTTACATTGCCCACTGCTCAAACAGTTTGAGCAGACGTCATTTGATGGGAACTTTAAGGTCTGGTGCGACTGCGCACAATTGAGGGAGACTTCCTGTTTTGCCTTTGTGCACCATCCATAACTAAAATTTTCTCCAGAATGAATTCCTTGTTGCTATGAACAAAGCTCAAAAGGACGGAGCTTTAAGGTACAGAAAGTAAAAGACCAAAGGTAAGACGAGGTAGGTCCTTTCTGTCTATCTGGGCAAGCACCGATATCCAATGTTCTTTACGAGCACATTTCAGGGTAACACTTTGTGCAGCAACATTTTAAACATTTCGAGAGCAATTGAAGACTCCCATGGAAAAGCCAGGTAAGACAAATTTTAAGACAGTGGAGAATTCAAGAACTTAAGGCAAGGGAATTAAAAGTGTCAAATTCCGTATCTCATTATGAGTACAGCATTTCATTTACCTTACATAGCATATACTTTTCCTGGGATATCCGCGGGATCATTTCAGGAAAAGAAAGTTCGACTTCCAAAGAATGCAATAAAGGAAAAAATCAATCAAAATGTGACTGGTATGTCTACTGGTGTTTTCAATTGCGTTTCGTCTTGCTTGACTTGTTACAAAGGTAACGGGTAACGGGTAACGTTCATACTCTTAAAAAAAAAAGAAATGACCATTTCGAGCAAGATGGCAACTGCATGGGGCGTCTTTGGCACTGCTAGGAAATTCCTACAAATCACTGCACGTGACAATGTATCTGTCAAGATTGGGGAAATTGCTATAATTTAACATTATGCAAAGCAAAGAATAAAGTGCTCCATATTGACTGGATATCGGATTATTGATATCAATGGTATCAGCCCAGACTTGGTTTCATTTGGTCTTGTGAATGCCTTAAGATAGTTGCCATTCGAGTATTTTTGTGAATTGATGTCAAATGAATGTTCATGAGTATATTATTTTTATATGTATATGTATATAAAAAAAATGTATGCATGTATACAGTGGAGTCCATTTAAACCAAATTCTGTGAGACCCCCGGATTTTCTTCGGTTCAGCCGCGTTTTCGGTTTAGAGAGAGTTGTAATAGTTGTATAAATAGCGGTGATTATCCACAGTGTAGAGTTGGGAATACCAAACTTGCGTCAAATTTCACCTTTTCAAAATTTCTTTCCCGTCTTCCAAAATAATAATAATTTAAAAATCCCCGTGGATGGCTTCTGCACATTTTAAAGGCTTTCAGCTGGGACAATATCGTCTTTAAAAGCAAGTCTGTAATTTTTTTTCTAATCGCAACATTATGCTGATTGAACGCATGTTTTTAGAACCTTCAGCGCAAAAACTGGTTCATCATAAAATTAATTTCTTGTAACAAGTATTTCGACAAAGGAGAGTCATTGATGAGTAATGACGTACATCATATGCGTGTGCAAAATGTGTGCGAGAAGCGGGAAGTGCTGTGAACAATCCCATTTTCCGCGTGACGGAGATTTAACGGGTATTTTCTATTCTTTCGGTTTCAACTGTTTTCTGATCAAACTTGTACGGTTTAATCGGACTCTACTATACATATATATGTGTATTATACATAATGTATATTTATTTATTGATATATGTACACACATGCATCGTTGTTGAAATGACCCGTTTGTGTTTCTAAAGTGTTTCTGGTAAAGTAACAAAAACCAACCATCCTCATATTGTTCAAATGGTAAGCACCACGTTCATTGTTCTTCTTATGTTGCTTCTTAAATGGAACCAGGTGTTTACACGAAGGCCTTTTTCTTTCTTTCTGCCCATTGTAAGTGTGTCTTGTTGTTTATTATGCATACTTGCATTGGTGTGTTGTTATGTGTGTCGTATGTACGAACATTGTGTATGTACTTGTTTTGATGACGGTAAGCCAGATTAGTTTTTGTCCAAACTGACTTTTCAGATAATTTATGAGAAACAATTTTGGGGCTGTTATGTTGTCGTTTAAAAAAAAAACTGTCTACATAATGAAGCAGTCCTGAATCGATTGGTTAATCTCAAGGGCGAAGGCTAACGTGTTTGAAAGGGTGCTCAAATTGAGACAAAGTGCCAGAGAGGAAGGAGGCCCCTTTCGAAAAATGTCCCCACAATAGGAACATACGTGACAAAACTTCATTTTCGAGGCAGCATCACTGTATTGTGAATAAAAACAAATCCTGAATTCATATTGTATGTTCATTTGTCAACATTGTAGAGAAAGTATCTCTTAAATAATTTATTTGATTCTTACATTGGGCAAGACGTACAATTAAATGCACGGTTGGAACAATGGTCTCATTATTTTTAAACAGTAAATTTAACTAAAGATGTGAATACGCATAGAGAAGGCACAGAAGCAGAGATGACAATACTACAAATGACGCATCAGTAATTTGGATTTCAAATTTATCTGTCATTCTCTAGTTTTTTTAGACCAGGAAATCAGATCATGGCCTGATTATAGAGCGAAAAATATCGAGGAAAAGAAACAAACTTTCACAGCAGCCACGAGGTTATTTTATTATGTAGACTCTACCAATCCAATTGTTAGCTCACATAGTATAGCTTGTAACTACTTATGAGAGTGGCCTGAAAGGGATGAACGGAGTATTCGTGTTGCGGGGAAACAGTTTTGAGTGTTGTGCACACGGTTCAAATAGAATAAATAAACTATAGTAAATAAATACATTTATAAGGCCTTCGACTATGGGTGTTATATGTGATCTTTCAGCTCATAAAGACGTTTATCATGGAATCGTCGTCAGAATAAAGATGAAATACAAGAGCTTTGGCCAGTGTACACCAGACTGGTTGTATGAGCTCCTTCCTCTCCGTTTCTCATACTTAGATGTAAACCACTTTCAACTTAGCCGAATGTGCAATGAGCATGTTTCAAGAACATGTCAAAGCGGACTGATCTTTTGGGAAAAAACGTTTATACTTTTACTTTTTGTCCTCTAAAACGACATTGTTTGGAGATGTAATTGTGGGGTGTGGGCCGAATGTATTGCTTTTTAGAACGTCATATTGGGCCTTTGAAGAGCCTCTAGGACTCCACGAATCCCTATTTTTCTTGGTCTTCTCTTTGTTTTGAAGTCTTTGAATCGTATTTTGTAGGCCTTTACGGCTTGCTCTTGTGGCCCCATTCTCATGAAGTGTCTAAATCACTTTATTTGTTGTCTCTCGGTGTATTTCAGGCTCGATTTGACGCCCACTTGTTGTCTGAAGTCTTCGTTTATTTTTCTGTCTCTTCTTTTGTTGTGTAATGTCTTTCTTAGACATCCTATTTCGCATTCTGTGCTTTGCTGACGGTCCAAGTTTGGCACTAGTAGCAGAGAGTTGGTTTGAAAATTGATCTTTTGAGTTGTTTCTTTCTCTCCATTCTGATGCTTTGATGGGAGAGGGTGGGTGCTAGTTAGTAGGCGACCTCATTTTCCTTTTGTACTCGTGTTTTAATTTCGTTGTCAGTTTTCGTATATCTTCTAAAGATGCTTCCAATGTATTTAATTTCTTGTATTTTTTCAGTTGTGTAATGTTGATTTTGATATTAAAATTTATGTCCGTAAAAGCTAATGTGGTTTAGTTTCAGGAGATCCTCATTACTTTTGTCTTTGGGTGTATTCGTTTTCATTCCTTATTTCTCACATACTTTCTTTAATTATGTGGTATGTTCTTCGAGGTTGTCGTTGTCTTGGTACATGCGTCTCTGGTCGTCAGCAAAGGACAGTTTGTCGAGTTGTTCTGGGTTGTCGTTTGCTTCTTGAGTTGTCTTGTACATGTAAACTTTGAGGAGTATTAGTGAAAGAATACATCGTTGCCCGACACCTGGTGTAACTTTGAACTAGTCAGTGTTTCCCTCGCTAATTCTTACTTACATATGCCAATATGCATACAAGCATAAGTTGCAACACTGAGTCATTTGAAGTTGTGAAGTGCAAGCGCACATGACAGCCAGTATGATCCTAAAAGCATGAATAATAATAATAATAATAATAATAACAACAATA